CAGGCGAGGTACTCTTTCAAATGAGTTTTTATGCGCGAGCGTTTGCCAAATGCCCTACGGAAAAATGAGCGAGGCTAATGATTTGTCATAGCGACTGGGGAAAAGTGTTTACAGCCTGATATTAATTATTTTGTTAAGAAAACTAAAGTATCCTATTATTTAAATAATAATTTATCAAACAATAAATAACGAATTGCCTTTAAAGGTATTTAACTAAAGCAGGGATAATATCTTCACTTATAAATGTTGTGATGCAATACTAAACAAATCTGAAAGCAAAAACCTCAAGTGAAAAAGATTACTATAGATACGAAAGTAAAGTTAAAAAAAATTTTCTTAAATTATTTTCGCTTTGCTTGGTACATAATTTTTTTTCTAGAGGTTATAGGAAAATAAAGTATTTGCACTAATTGAATATAATGTCAATACTAGATATCTATTGAATTTGTAGTATATAAACTGCCGCAAGCAAGAAAGTATTACTTATATTTAAATGTATCACCTTGTAAACCATAACCTGAGTTAAAATATATAAAACTACATGTAAAGTTTTTAATGATTTCTTATTTTGAGGCCTTCTAAGGACAGATGTAATATTTACATAATCTTAACTTATAAAAAAAACATTTTGTGTTACCCAAAACCATTATTATTAGCCCCTGTAGCTCATCAAAATTGTCGGCTATAGTCACGCCATGAATCTCAGCCACATATTCCTGTTCGCAGTCTGCAGAATTGGTTTGCATTTGAAGACAAAAACGTCGACGGAGCGCAGTAAAATATGAAATTTGTGCAAACAGTGAGACAGTTCCCCCACAAAATTCCCTCCGGGGGCAGAAGGACGGGGGGCGTGGCCAGGACCAAGACGCAAGTAAACTTTGCACGTAGTCAATTTAAATAAATTAACACGCTGTTGTGTGTGGGTGCGTGCATGGGGCAGATAAGGAGAGGGTGTCCCTTCCGATCCGATTCCCCAGGACAAATGGGTTATTCCACCGCGTCCGCCGCGTCCCACTGTGCTGCAATATGCCAAAATACGAAGCATTTGACATGCCCACGTAGCCAGGACGTTATTCCCGGTCAGGGGGAACTGGAACTGGGTATCAATGTCCTGGCCGGGTGGTTTTGCCCCTTCCCCTTTCTCGGTTCTCCAGCCATTCGGGTGCAATGCTCCTGGGTGGGTGCTTTTTGGCTCTGTTGTGCGACTGCCACAACGCATAAATCTTCAACTTTATGGCATCAATAAATGTCGGGGCGAAGTAATGATTTCGTCAAGTCCTCTGCCATTGTGCAGTGGCCCAAGCCGAGAAATCCTCCCCCCGATGTTTGTTGCATTCAACGGGGGTTGCTCGTGGGTTCGCTGGCAGGGATCTACTATATAACTGGGTAGATCCTTGATGGCACCAATCAAGCTTCGAAGCTTAGGCCAGCTTGGCACTGAGAAAAAGTCAATGTACTTCCGTTATGTAGATATTTTTTTTTTTTTTTTTTTTTTTTTTTTTTTTTTTTTTTTTATTTTTTTTTTTTTTTTTTTTTTTTTTTTTTTTTTTTTAAAAATTTTTTTTAAATTATAAAAATTTTAAATTTTTTTTTTTTTTTAAAATTTTTTAAAATTTTTTTTTTTTTTTTAATTTTAATAAACTAAAATTCAAATTCATCAATTTATTAAATTAAGATTATCATAATTAAAAAAAGATAGTAACTAGAGCTTCAAATTATAAATATTTCATGTTTTGAAATTGTTTAATATTAATAATATTTTATTAACATCAAATGTTTTTAAACTACACATTGTAATTGGCCCATCTAAAAATAGAAATATTTCTTATTTTGGTATTTATTTCATATTATTATTTTTATTATTATAAAACAAAATAAAATATCCCTCTACGATTTTAGTAACTGATTTGTTTGCCTGCACGGGTTCGTTCACCTCCCAAACCTCAAAAATAAATTGTGGGCGTGTTGAAGCCCACAAGGAGCTGGCTGAAAGCGCCTGAAAGGCTTCACACATTCGGCGCACAATTTATTTATTGGGACGAAATTCACCAGTAACTTTATGGCTGGAGCCCATCTGCATAAGCGCCCGGGAAAATAGGAAGCTCGTGGAACAGTGAATGTCCTGACAGCAGGCTGCTTTATCAGCTGGAGCTGGAAAAGAAACTCCTGCCGCTGACAGAAAGTTTTTACGCACTTTTTTTACGATCCAACCCACCCAGCAAACCCCAAAACCTCCTCTCGCATGGCAGGCCGTCATAAAAATGTCGTAAATTCGCCGAAGCGAAAGTTTTCCAGCCGGCAACTGGGCTCAGAGCCCGGTTGCTCGGTGCCATCGTAAAGGCCTTAATTAATTTTCTAATCAACATTTTGCCTGCATGTAAATCGTCTGATTTTCCGAGTCCATTTCGAGCCCGCTTATGTGTAGCATAATGCCAGGCGCTCCACCCACATCGCCGAATGGCTACAGTTTTTAGTACTTTCAGTACCAGAGCCTGAGTTGGTAAGCCTTCAGCTCCATTAGCTGGCCGGGCTGCTCGGTTAAGTCAGCTCAGCTCAGCTGCGATATGTCAAAGTAAACGGCTATAAAGTCTCAACTGCCGGGGAGTGGGCGGGGCGCCCAAAACTGGCGCCAGTAGTCAAAAGTTGCGTGCTCTGCGTTTGGATGATTCTGGTGGTGTTTACTTAGTTTGTTAGCCGGCCCTTGTTTTCATAGTTTTTATACAGTAAAAAAAAAATCGAAATTGGTCAGTAAGTTTTTTTTTATACTGATATGAATAGCATAATAAATTTCAGATATTATAGTTTAAGAAATCATTTACCAATATTCGTTACAAAATCTAAAAGAGAATTCTTTTGGTAACCATGATATAATATGGTAAGTAAACTGTTAGTTTGAATTATTTTAAAAATCGAAAATAAATTGGTTCATTATGGAATAGATAATAAGAAGCACTACCAAGAAGTAAATAACAGTAAGATTATGAATTCTAAATAGATAAGAAACATCTCTCCCGATTTAACTGCTAAGAATAGCTTATGTAATTTTAAAACATCCTAATTTCTTATCTCATATTTTATTTCAAGTATACCGTACAAGTATAACAAAATAATACTGATATTCGTTTGTCATATTCGGGCGGCGTAGTCACACGTTCCAGTTTCATATGGTGTTTCTTATCACACATCCAGTCTTATGGGTTACATTATCATCTATTGGCGTGGCACCAATTGCATATAGAATCCAGATCTTGGTGTCAGGCTGAAGCTGCGAGCCTCCTCCCACAAATCCTTGATGGTCCCGGGAGAAGCCTCTATCTTAAAGTTAAGTATCAGGTGATATAGCATGCCCTTTGCCAGCATGTGGGCATAACGGCTGGCTGAAAGGGGTAAATACTTATAGATCGCTTTAACAATTTGAGTATTAAATGTACTCACCTAGGCAGCTGCGAGGTCCAGCCCCAAAGGGCATATAGGTAAATGGTAGTATTTCACTCTTTCGTTCCTCGCTAAAACGCTCTGGGTCAAATTTTCTGGGTTCGGGGAAGTAACGATCGTCCCCGTGAACACCAGCTATGGGAATGGTAACCAAATCCCCCTTTCTGAAGTCAAACAGCTTGTTGCCGTCCCCATCTGTGAGGGTGTAAGGCTTCGAGCAAACACGATCTATGGAGGGAGAAAGAGTCCACTTCCTGAGAGTCTCCGAAATAACCATGTCCATGTAGGTCATCTTTTGTACAATATCGTAGGTTAGCGAACCACCATTCAGAGACTCCTGCGTTTCCCTGACCTCCTGGTGCAAACGTTCCTGGATTTCGGGATTCTTTAGCAGCTCGTAGGTCGCAATGCTAATCAGGTTAGAATTGTTGTCGAAGGCGGCGAAGAAGAAGACGAAACACTGGGCCACAATCTCGTCATCCGTCCAATTATCCTGGGCCTCCTTCTTGGCCTCGATCATCAATTGGATCATATCGGGACGGGTGATGCCCTGTTGCTCGCGCAACTTCATGGCCTCCAGCACCAGGCTCACAAAGTAATCCACTTTCTTGCCATCAAAAACTTCCATATTGAAGAACTACAGAAATACCACAATTAAATGGGGTTTCAAAGTGTTTAAGAGGTTACTTACTGTGAAAACTTTGGGCATCAAAGCAGAAAGCGTAAACCTGAAGAACTGCGCTGCTGTGGAGAAGATCAGCGACTGACCCACCGAATAGAACTCGTTTTCAGGGTTCTCGAATGAGTTCACCTTCAGACCAAAGGCGGTGGTGGCGATTACATCGCTGGAGAGCTTGTTGAACAGTATCTTCATGTCCACCTCGAAGCCTTTGCCGGAGGAGGGATTGTCGGATAGTTTGTTCAGGTGCTGCATGCATTCCGCGAAACTGTCGTTCATCAGGGTGAACATATTGCGCATCTTGGCTGATGTGAAGACTGGAGAAAGGGTGTTCCTCATGCGCTTCCATCGCTGATCCTTCATCACATTGATCATGTCGTTGAGCAAACGTTCATTGGTGGTGATCATGAGTTGGTGGTTGGGGAAGTAGTCAAAGTCCTTGACACAGATCTTCTTGATCAGCTCGGGATCGTTTATCTGCACCATCGGTTTTCGGAGATTGAAGAAGCCCACCACTTTGCTATGGGGAGAGTATGACATTGTAACGTCTATAAGACTTTATAATATTACAAAAATACTTACTGATGACGCGTGCGCAGGTAGAATTCGGTGAGCTGCTTTTGTGATGAGATTCTTTGGAGAGCCGAGGCGGCCACATTGCCGAAGAATGGCCAGGGCTTTTCGTAGGGCAGGTTGCGGGTCTCAAAGGTCTTGAAGGTGCCAATGGACCACTTGTAGATGAGCAGAGCAAAGCCCAAGAGGGCCAGGCAGATTTCAAGGCAAGCCATGATGAATAGGTTGGGGTAGGTTGTAGCACTTGCGAGCTGATAGTCTAATTAGAACTGAGTTTCACTGCTGACCGGCACCACAATTTATACCAGGCATTATCGAAACCACTGCTTATCAATTGTAAGTGGGGAGATATCGCCACTCAGCAGGTTTAGCACTACAAAACTGATTGGCTGGTGTAAATCGATGCGTTTAGCTTTTTCGAGTGCTTTGTGGATTTTCACGGGAGCTTTTTGATTCTCTTTGGGGAATTCATTGTATACTGAATTTCATGATTTTTGTTAAAAGATCGAAACTTTTTGAGCAAAGCCGCCAATTTCAAGAGCTTATTGATAAGAAAGCATTGTCAAACTGTAAAACTAACAGTTCATACCATTAAATAAATACAAATTTAAATATTTTGACTGGTTAGCGTTAAAAGTAATGATCTGATTAAGTAGCAAAGTTAAAATTAAATGACAATACATTGAACAGAAACTGCGAAAAATTTTACAACAAATATTCAAGGCTGTAAAAAATTAATTATTGTTGAATAACAATGACAATTCTATTTAATTATTAAAACTAACAGGTATATTTTATTTTCCAAATATTTTAATTACATTTTTGTATAATTTTGATATTGTTTTTAGAGCAAATTGGTGTAAATAATAGTATATTATAATACAAAAATTGTAACTCTTGTTTTATTCTGTACTCTTAGGACTAGACATCAAGTGAGAGATTATTAGGAATCCGTTTCTGCAGGAGAATCCTTTCGAATACCCCTTACCCAATGCCGAAAATCACTCATTCGCCCCGTCAGCAGCAGCAGCACTGTCCATGCCAATTAAGTGCGGAATTTCGGTTTATTTTCCTCGTGCACAACTGCATGGCACAGCACAAATTAATTTAAATATTTAAAGAGTTTAATTATTTTTTAACTGCCCAACAAGGACAGGCGCAGACATGGAGGGATACAGGAGTAGTAGAAGGAGCAGGCGGAGCAGAAGGAGCAGGAGGCCAAGTGCCATGATCCGGGGCCATAAATGCATGGCAACCTGCGAGGACGACGACAACGGGCAAACAGCCAAGCGTAAACTTAACTGACAAGTGGAGACTTAACTTCCCATAACAAATTGCATTCCAATTGCATGTCGGGAACGCACACATCCCCCAAACTCCCACCCCCTGGAGGCCGTGGGGCATAAACAAACACACACGGAGTCGCATTCACTCACATTCGCTCCTCCGGCGGGACTTGGTCGTCATCGCTGCTGTTAATTTAAATTGCTTTAAAAAAAGCAGGTGCACAGCACGCTGAATGGGCGAAATGAGAACAGAAACGAGTTCCATTCAGGGCAAATGGCAACAGGAGCAGCTCCTGGCCAGGAGTTTCCTCCTGGAAGCTGGGAGCACAGCCTCTCGAGTTGCCAGCCCGGAGATGCCATGCACGAAATAATCCTAAAGGGTGTGAAAAAGTATGAATGCAGCCAAGAATGTGCACACCCAATGGGGAGTGGGTGTGGGTGGTTGGATGGGCTGTATGAGCTGTATGTTTGGCTGCGGAGGACGCGAGAAATGAGCTAGCTCGCTGTGAAAGGAAAACAAAATTATGCAACTTGAAAATGGGCGACAGACAGACGTGGAAGTGGAAGCCAACACCCAACCACACGCAATCCCTACTCCTTGGCTGCCCCTCAGTTGCCATCTCAGATGCAGCGTTCTGTTTTTGTTGCATGAGTGAAGGCTGCTCCCGATCCCAGTTTCATCTCCTTCCTTACATTTCTGCCTCCCTTGTGGTTTGGTGTAGCACTCGCCCCCAAGAGCGTCTCGACAAATATGCTGAAAAAAATATTAGAAAGCAAGGAATACGTTCTCAACAATAAGAAAAAGTTAAGATTTAAATTTGTATTCTTAAATTATAGAATAGATTAGTATAAATAATAAATAATAAACCGAATAAAACGGTTTTATACATCGCTTTAATTGATATTTTTTTAAAACAATAAATAAATATTTAACCAAATTAAGCTATAAGCAAGGTATAACTTATAACATATGTGAATGTGTTTATTATCATCTTTATATAAATTAAAAATATTTCATTTCATTTGGTTTTGTTAAGTAAAATAAATAAAAAAAGCCTTTAATCACTAAATTCTTTATTTATTTATTTTTTCAGGTTGAACTTTATTTACCATACGGTCAATCTGAAAAAAGCCAATATTTTAAATTAATAAATAGGTTTTGATCACAGATCCATTTAGTGAATTATTTTAAATTAAATTTTAAATGTTGTCGTTTAAACTAAACCTAAGCTTGTACTTCACGTACATAATTTCGCACAATGCACATGTTCGTTCGTTCCTCCTCTGCAGAAGTGAAATGTTTTTGGTTGCAGTTTCTACTTTGCATTCAATTAAATCCGGACTCGAAGTAATTGCCAAGTAAATACGAAAAGCAGAGCAAGATGGGAGCGGACTATAAAAATGCTTGACAAGATAACTTTGCAGGAATTCGAAGCTGAAAAAATAAGGAAAACTGTGGACCGGGGTGCCGCATTTTTATTATTGATAAAATTTGCTAAGCGACAACTTTTTCGGAGCAAAGTTCGTGCGGGTTGTGACAACCCTTTGGCTCCTATCGAGTCACTCCCATTGCTCCCTTTACCAGTTTATTAAAATTCAGGACGAGCGGCAGCAACCGCAGAAAGAGAATTCCCAGAAATTGTATTACCAAAAATATTGAAAAAGGGAGAGGAACAGTAAGAAAGTTGAGATAGGGACTTCGGAGGATGCCTGCCACATGTGTCGCCTTTAGGGGCCAATCGATGGCGGATTGGATGGAAAAGGCAGCTGAGCCCGCGGGTGCCATTTCGGCAATTCTATCCCCCAGAAATCCTGTCGCACTGCGGTTCAATTCAATGATTTGTGGCCTTGGTTGCGTCTTAATTTATCCAGCAGCTTGCTCAGCTCACACAAGACAATCGCCGCCTAATGGAGTGGGGCTTTGAAAGTTCTTAAAATACTTTTCAGTCGGTCTAGAAGTTTTGGCCAAAATAATTTGTATGCGGTGGCGAACGTACATGGAAACTTTTCGCACAGCAGGGGTAAAAATAGTTGGAAAAAGTCGTCTTCTTAAAAAAAAGGGGGGAATTACGACTGTAAGTTAAGGCTACTTATTAAAATCTCCCCTTGGCCCATTGAGCAGTACAGGCACTTGGCATTTCTTTGAGCACATGTGTGCTTGGTCTTCGCTTTTTTTGGCTGAACACTTCAGTTGCATTGTCCCTTTGTAAGGATGGCTGCTCCTTTCGGGGCACAACGGGTAGATAGCTCCGCACAAGGACTTTGCTGGCTGCCTGTGGGAATGTGTTGACATAGCGCTACTTTTGTTTGCCCTTCTGCTAGACTTTCTCCGACTTTCCGTCTGTCTGGTGGGTGTGTAGTTAAAGTTTTCCACTCTCTCCTCAGCATATTTGCTCAGGGCTAAAGGGCAAAAGCCCGTTAAATGCCGGAGCCAAATACATTGGGGCGTTAGACTGTGAAAAAGGATTTGGAGCTAATCAAATAATATGAATAAGGCACTGAGGACATAGCTCATTCATAACCTCATTAATTTTTAATACAGATATTATTCCATCATAATTTATTTAATAAATTTAAAACGGAGTCGAAGGCCCGTTAGCTAGTACTTATAAAATTCATTAGATTTATTCTTGATTTAATTTTGTCAAACCATTGGATTTTATTGAACGTAATATTATAAAGAAATGTGTTAATACTTAACAGGGTAAGAAGTTTAAATTCCATTCAATAAGGTTATTTTAGAAGAATTTTAAATATTTATTAAGAAAACCATTTTATTTTCCCAGAGAAATATGCGCCAATCCCATAAAAATACAAAAGTGAATGACCTTGACATTCCTTCTAAATTTTTTAAATAGTATTTAGTCGGGGATTATCTCTACGTATTTTAGAGATCCTTCCCCACCCCAAAAATCCCTCCATTTTCCATTTCACAGTTTGCAGATACCCAACGTCCCATTACCTGCTTTATATGTTTATCCCCCGCCCACCTCATTGAACTTAAATGCCCCGTGGAAAAGAAAAGTTTGTCTTCAGTTTTCCTTCTGTTTTTCCACCTCTATCTCTGCTATACCCTCCCCCCATTCAGATTGGCCATGTCTCAGCCCAGTAACCTTGCTCATTTACCGCTAATTCTCACAATGCTGCAATCTCGTTTTGGCCCAAAACAAGAGGAGTCGGAGCTAATGCCGCTTAACCGTTATGGCCATAAAAACGGAGATTCCGAAACTTAACGCAAAGCGACTCAATAAGCGATGGGGCACATCACCTGAGCACAATTCCGCCTCTCAATCCGTTCGCCAAAAACTGAGGCATCAGCCGCAAAGTCCCCCAATGGACTGCTGATTCCGACTCCATTGAGGCATAAGGCTCTTGCCAAACTCCATTCCATTCCATTCCAAATCAACTGCATTCCTAAGCCCTGTCAGGCATTTTATGGCCAACACGAAAGCTAAACTTTTGCCGAGGGAGTCGTAACCCCACAAGGGAGTCAGTTTGCCCTTGTCCCATTCCCCGGGTTTTCCTCGGGTTTTCCTCGTGCTTTCCCCTGGCCTTCCCCTATCTTCCCTCCCGCTTTGCTGCGCTCGTAAAATTTTATGCGTTTTTTGCGCCCTTCGCTCGGCGTTGAAAATGAAAATTGTTACTCCACAACAAGCCAGCTCCCTCCCGACTACGGATCCGGGTCTTCCAGCTCCGGGTCTGTCCCCCGTATCCCGTATCCCATAGCCCATGCCGTTCAAGCCAAGTCGAGTGTCGTGTCGCCTGCCAGACGTGGCCAGGGGGTGGCACTTTGTTTGGCCTAGAGATGAAAGTTCAGACGGTTGACAATTCATCGAAAGCAAAGCCAGGACTATCCAAGTAAATATTACTGATATTGAAAACTAATTCAATGGCTTAAAAGCATTATAAAATAGTTCTTAATAAATAAATCAATCCAAATGTAAATTATTTGAAACTATTTTTATTTAGATTAATTTAAAACTAAAATATGCGTTTTATTTTTTGTATATTTAATATGATATTCACT